TGCCAACTCTTTCTCCTGGTGGCTGCTTAGCTCCAGCAACTGCTTCCTGTTGGGGCCCAAAGGAGCCCTAGCGGGCAGGCGAGGAATGGCGAGTAGAGGCTGGCGAGGCGCCCCTCGACATGAGTGAGTTGGCCACACCCACCCAGTCACATGATCGGCCCACGCCCACCCAGTCGGTCATATTAGTGGTCCGCGGGATTTAAAATTATGAATTTAGTGGTCCCTGAGGTCCAAAAGGTTAGGGACCCCTGCTTTAAGGAGTTTCTCCCCAGGCTGCCCCAGAGAAGGGCCCTGAGGGCAGTCTGCCTCTTTTTAAGATGTTTTTTTTAAAAGAAATATTAGGCTTTTTCACAATAACCGTCCTTTTCTTCCTGCAGCCTGTCCTTGATCCCAAAAAATAACCCTTTCGAAATTAAAATATTTACAATCACTGCAAGGATTAAGAGGGGCAGCCCAGTCCAGAGCAGAAGAATCGGCTCAGGCTGAGTTTGTCACTTTCTTACTGCTTGGCCCTTCCTTGACCAAATGTCTCCAGGTTTGACCAGTTTGCCCACACGGATGTGACCGAATCAGACATGGCATCTTTCTCCCACACCTGGGGTTTGCCGGTCTTGCGGACAAAGAGTGTCGGCGAGCGGCACTCGGACGGATACGCCGGCCTAGCTGAGGTGGCCCATCTCTTGAACAGGCTCGCCGAACATCTCTGGAGGCAGGACCAGGTGGCGGCCGGCCTAGTTTCTGGAGAGGAGAGCCCTACCATACCGCAAGCACTGGCTTCATGAAATCCTAATTCTGCTGCATCGGTTTCCTTTCAATAAACTTGGTTCTTAATGGCCTTTAAACCCCAATCTTTGTATCTGCTGTCAGGGAAGCCCCTTGGGCCAATTTCTGGGTTATGTTGATGGTAAAAAGGCCATCAAGGAGGCAGAGGGGACAGAAGGCAGCCTGGAGGACAGGCCTCCACAGATCCAACTTGTGAGGCTCCCAAGAGTTATTTGCAAGTTTGTGCCAGATTTTCTTGATAGGCAAGAGCAGAATTGTTCTGAGCGAGGCTTCCCAAGAGCCTGAAGCAAACTCCTGGTCCCGACAAAAAACCCTTTTATTAATTGACTGTGAATTTTGCTCATTCACATCCAGCAAAGTCTTTCGAGGGAGGATTTACGGTCACAGACCTTATCTGGCTTGGAGACCTGCCAGGCCGATATCTGCAGAACATTTGGCAAGGAGTCTCGGAGAGTCACCAACCAATGAAGTGAACTCATGGTCTCCTGCAAACTCCACTCCCCTTTCGCTGCTCTTTTAGTTCCTCTGGGAGGGGCCATTCATTG